ACTTAGGCAGCACGGAAAGCCGTAAAACTCTTGAACAAAAGATCTTTCAAACCGGCAGTCTAAATCCCACAGGGATCAACGAACGCTTTTCATTCCACTAATTTATTCGTGTTTTTCTCGTTGCCATGTTCCCACCAATAACGTAGCTCCATTTTCTGTCTTTTAAAGCACACACAACCCACAATCCTCTATACGCTCCGACGAAGGGCTAACGCTCGAAACGTCAGCTTTTGTAGTCGTTACGGTGGCCAATTACCATTTCAACTTTGTTGATATATCCAAATTATTTAATTGCTTATTAAATTCGCAACCAAGAATGTATGCGAATGATACTCACCTAACTTATGATGACAACGACATCTGCTCAATTGAGGCTTCTTTTAATCAGGACTTGTCAAATTTAAACCATTGGCTTATTGCCAATAAATTGACTCTCAACATGACAAAAACTGAATTTATGTTAATTGGGTCAAGGCAAAAATTAAACAGCCTAGCCGTTCTTCTTGCCTTGGAAATTAATGGCACCCAATTAAACAGAATCAATTTTACCAAGTCTCTTGGTATATTAATTGATGAAAATTTAACATGGAGTAATCATATCAACGCTGTATCTAAAAAGATCTCTTCTGGTGTTGGATGTATTAAACGAATAAGTCACTGTGTCCCTCCTGCAACTGCAACTTTACAAAATATCTATCATGGGTTAGTCTAATCGCACTTCGACTATTGTAGTGATGTTTGGGGTAACTGTGCTAAAACATTATCTGAAAAACTATAGAATCTGCAAAATCGGGCGATTCGCGTCCTCACTCATTCTAGTTATGATGCTGACGCCAACCAACTTCTCTCAGAATTAGGCTGGCACAACTTAGAAACTAGCCGTCAAAAACTTAGGGCTGAGATGGTCTATAAGTCCTTAAATGGCCTCATACCCAATTATTTGTCCTCGAAATTCATTCAGAGGAGTGATGTGGTTACTTCTTACAATTTGCGCAATTCTGAAAATAAGCATGCTATTCCCTTGCCACATTCTAACTATTATAAAAATAGCTTTGGCTATAGTTGTGCAGTCCTCTGGAACAGCCTACCTTAAGCTGCTAGGCAAGCAACATCTCTGGCTGATTTCCGACGATTGTTATTTAATTCCGACACGGCATTCACGTAAAACAGGCTTTAATTTAATTTACCTTCTGTAATAGTTAGTAATATTTTAAATTAGACTAATATACATAGTTTATACATAGTATACTAAGGTTTTAGTAATTAGTTGTAGCTTTTATATTAAATTGTTAATACCTGATGTATTTTACCGTGTATAAATAAAGATGATGATGATGATGATGACAATAATTCGCACGTACCCATTTATTCTCCCAGTGAAAGTGGGGAGGCATTTAACTCACAAATTAAAAAATCCTTAGATGTAGTCGCGTTGAACAATTTCAACTCCAAGTTACAAATCAAAACCAATAGTTATTTCTTTACTTTGAAAATTTCAGTTCGTGTGCTCATGGAGTTTGCCATAAAAGATCACTACAGGTGAAAGCTTATTTCCGCATTCAGAGTCGATACCCTCTGTCACCAAGAGCCACCCTGCATCATTACTACATCCCTCATAATTCCTGTGTACGTGAAAAGTTCAGCCTCGGCGATTATCTACACCAACATTAGAGAAGATGTTTCTCATCAACAGGAGCAGTTAGTGATAATAATAATACACTTTATTTAGAGAGTGGCACGGAATAGTTGAAGTTACTAATAAACTTGTGGCGCTCTATTTAAAAAAATTCTAACAAGCAATGTATGTTGAATTCTAACATAACTATCAAAAACTAGCAATATTTATCTGATAAAAAGACGAATTACGAGTAAAAATAAAATGTAACTTGAGAGCAAATGATGAGTCATATGTTAGACTATTAAATGATGTAGTTTCTGTTGTACATTAAGAAGGTTGTTTCTATAATTGTTCTTTAAAGATTCTAATGACACAGAATTCCTGAGTTCTAGACTTAAGTTATTCCAAAGTTTACAGGTAGTGACTGCGAATGATCTACCGCCTTCGGTCATACGATTAAATCCTGGGCAAATAAAATTAGTTTTGCTATATCTTGTTGCACGATCATGTTGCTGACTATTAAGTATTAAAGAGCCTTCAGTATATAAGGGTACTTCACGCTTGACACGTTTGTACGCAACGCAGCATTTAGCTATTTTAGATTCCTCATAAAAAAGGAGCCACTGAAGTCTATTGAACAGTTCGACACTAGACGCTTGGTTGTCAGCATCAGAAATTACCCTAGCTGCTCGTTTCTGCAGCTTTAAAACACGACCTAGACTCTCCTTGTTACAGCTAGTCCAGATTGAGCTGACGTAAAGCAGGACCGAATCAAGTTCACACAAAAACGAGAGGGAAAAACAAACTAACTTTTAGAAACACGGAGGGTACGAGAAGTTATTATTATTATTATTATTATTATTATTATTATTATTAACACTGACATAAGATCTAGAGATCAGAACTTAGGGACTTGCGTGGATGAGGTCTGCAGGAACTTCAAGAGCGTCATGATTACGAGATAGACTTGGTTTCCGTCAAGTTTGACAGGATTGGACACTTTTAAAAAGAAAAGGATATGAAAAAAGAAGAAGAGGCAGTTTTAAATCTTGATGACATCATCCAGCTTCATCTCTACGGAAAAGAAGTAGTCCGGTGAAGAATGTTCTCTAATTAAGCGCGTTTAACTAATCACTTTTCCCTAAAGAATAGTTTTGCTTTTAATATAATAATAGCTCATGATCAGTGGACAAATGAATGATTCCAACAGTGAGTATGACGCATCTGTGAAGGGCAATGTTCTGCATTCAAGTCTATGTCCAAAGAGAAGTTTTGGTTTTGTAACGACTCGTCGGCGAGTGTTTTTCGACCATAAATTATCAAAAAATAATTAATCAAAAGAACACTCTCCGCTTTTTAACCACCTTTGAAAATTAATTACAAATTTATGGTGTTTGAAATATTTTTCCCATTGAATAGCAACCTTTGAAAATCTCATAAACAAAAGGAGTCGCAAGAAAAAGATGGTGATTTTATAATCCGTGTCAGGGTCAAATTTATTTTTTAGTGATTTTTAAGATAATGAATATTGAATCTACATAATTATACAGAGAGGAACCCTGATGTTATTTATAAGTCACAAGGCAAGATAATCTCCTTCTTTCAGAATCGTAGTTAAGCCTTGTTTGTGTAACAAATAAATTTCACACTATAGATATAGAAAGTATAATGGTCATCATCAATCTCTGTATGAAACATTAACACTATTTATACAGTTAATACTTCTACAAAAATGGACAATTACTCTACCATTTTTTGTAACGAGATAACGTGCCTTTTCAAGGTTAACCAGAACAAACAATTAAAGATAGTTAATATTTTCTGTTTTTAATGAGTCAAAAGGATGATAAATAAATATTTTCTATTATTAACAACTAGTATGCACAAGAAGAAGTTTAAATTCTTTCGAATTCTACCTACCGATTTTTTTACATTCAAGAAACCTCATCCTCTCTTGATGCTCTGTGCGCTGTTTTATTATTTTTCCTACGAACATTACTTATTACTAGTTTCAGACAGTACAGCCACGCCTTAGTAATTAGGTTGTTTGCTATCTTGTCTAAAGTTGAGGGTCATTGTTTAAAATGTTCATACAATTAATGACATTCACATGCCTACAATGTTTTGTAAATTAAGACAAATCAAAAGTTTAACAGAGTCAATTTAGAGAGCGGAATATGAAAAGAAAAAGAAAGAAAGGGTGAAAAAGAAAATAAGAGAAGAGAAGTACCAACTAACAAAGATATCTATGGGCGTCTCAAAGTAAATGTTGACACTCACCTACGGGAAAATAATACTATCTCTCTAAGTTTGTCGCGAGCAGATTTTCTAAGGAATTTCCGACGCTGTGAAACATTCTTCAACTAGAAATGCACAATTTGTACAGATGGACAAAGGAATCCTCTTGAAAATCCGGTTCAGTTTTGCTCAGTCGCATGCAATTTCGCATTCCCTCTGCTAGCTAAAGGAAATATCGTGGTATTTAATTGACTGGTACATCTTTACAGGGACTTTAATGCGGATATGAAATAAGGAAGTAATTAGGGAACGGGTAAACAGTAAATGTCTGACTTTGGCGATGACTTTCGTGAAAAACTTCACGAAACTCGGTTAAAAAATTGCTGTTTCAGTTCATTCACTGGCCTGCTCATAACAGGAAGTCAGTAATTATGTACAGCTCATAAAATAGTTTGTTGAGTAATAGAGTGCTAAAGAGTTATCTGCGAAACAATTTATGACCATTTATGTCCATCTCCTTTTGGCTCCTTGGATCAACGAACGAAAACCACCAGGAAATCAGCTGTGCCAACATTCTCTAAGAAAAAAAGGGACTCTGTATCAGTGAAAGATGTCGAGACATGGAATTAAGAATCCTTCAATATTGTATGAATCACAGTGAACTATATATGGTGTTAAACATAGAGGTTCTGAATGGGATGATGGCTTTTTAATGTAACGCTTAAAACTTTGGCCATTTCACTGCGAACGGTGGGTTAATTTCAGTTACATACAGTTACAATGTATGTTACAGAAATGTTAAAAATTAATTTGAATCATCTAAAAAGTTAATGACTAATTTCTGTTGTTCATAAACATATTTACTAACTCGCTTTTGCCATTATAGTCAAGCAAAAAGAGTAATTCCACATCGTGCTGCTGTTGGGTTGATACAGAGTAATTTTCTGTTTACCCGCATCGGCTACAAGACAAGACACAACAGGCGAAAATTTGAACAGTTTCAATGAAAATAATAAATTGCACATTTCTCACAAGATAGAGGGTGAGGTAACAGAAAACATAAGATTTGCAAACTTCACGGCGAATTATATGGCTTTGGATAATCCTCGATTAAGTAGTATTTTCTCAATATGAAGACTAGTCTTTAGGCGAGTGTGTATATAAAGATGACAGTGGTGTACGTTAGAAAGTGTGGTATAACCGTCATATCCCCTGCAATAGGAAATGAAACACAATTAAAAATAATGATTCAGATTAGTTCCGCACTTCCATCCCTCGTTGGTACACGAATTGACAGGTAACATTCCTTAAAATGATGTAGTCACGTTCAATTATTTCTACTCCAACTTACAAATCAAAACTTATAGTTATTTCTTTACCTTGAGAATTCCAGTTCGTGTAGTTATCGAATTTGCTATAATAGATCACTATTGGTGAAAACTTCCCATCGTATTCACATGGTTTACCCTCAGTCACCAAGAGCCACCCTGCATCATTATTACATCCCCCATAATTCCTGTTTATGTGAAAAGTTCTGCCATCGGAATCATTTCGACCAACATTAGAGAAGATGTTTCGCGGTTCACTAGCCAGTTCAGTCCATGGCGATTCAATCACCTGATTCATGGCAAACCAGTTGATGTTGTTGGTCCCAGTTGCGTTGAACGTGATGGATAGAACTTCAGAATTGTTTTGGTAGAGAACAACCCGCGCCTGAAGTTACGTTTAAACAAAATTAGTGAGAAAGAAACCAACTCAGAGAAAATTTTTTTAATCTAATGTACACTGTAGAAAGTAATCTGGGATTTCATTTTGTTTTGGTTTGCTTCGCTCTGCATTGGTATAAAAATCGCGTGCCATTAGATGCAAAACTAAAACAAATTACGACTTGATCAATCTCGTTCAGCCACTCTTCCGGCAGTTTACTTGTTTTTACTCGGGTTCGTATTGGCTGCTGAAGTATTTTCACTTTAGTTTTGGTTGTTCAACACTCAACTGAAATTTTCTTTCTCACAACGACAGAATGACGACAACATAATGCGGACGATGATAACAACATCAATGGCTATAACCGTGACAACGACAATAACGAGCTCAATGACTCTGAGGAGGATGATAAAGATAACGCTGATGATGTTGCTGATAAAGAAAACGATGATGATGTTGCTGTTGATGATAAGAACGACGGTGATAAAGCTAATGATGCTCATGATAACAACGAGGACAGTGACAATTATGGGAATAATTATCATCATTATCATATGATGGTCGGTGAAAGTTGTTTGTAATTTTCTCACCTCCTTGAGTCCTAAGGTCTGCCATTCCCTGACCAAGCGGTTCTTGTAATTTTCTTTGGGCGTTGAAGTGGTATTCAATAATTCTGTTTTGTTTTCGTTTAAAGTGTCAGTAGATGACCACAGAAGAGAGATATCAGCTTCAACACCGGCCACTACCTTGAATACCATGGTCCAACCTGTTGGCAAACATGTAACACATTATAATTTGTTTTGAAGTGAGGCCCCACGGTGGTGGTAATGGTATTCTGAAGAAAGCAGGAGTAGCTGGTTAATCGATTTATCACAAAAATGATAGGGACAAATGAACGAACTTTTAGAAATACGGAGGGTACGAGAAGTCAAAGGTGAAGTTTTATCATTAACACTGACATAGGATCTAGAAATCAGAATTTAGGGACTTGTGTGGACGAGGTTCGCAGGAACTTCTTTAAGGCTGTCTGTCGATTTAAGACTCGCTTCTTAACTGAGCGGGTGCAGATTCATGACCACAAACGTCCAAGATCCAAGGAGTTTATCACCCCGGATTGTATCCCAACCATCCGCTTTCTTTGTCATCAAGGTTTGGTGAGGTACTAGGAGGGAAAAATTTCACGATAAAAAAAGAAATTTCACAATAGAAATTCAAGATAGATTTTTAAGATAAACTAAAATAATTCACTCACGGAGATCGCATTTTTTGCCTCCAAAATGTGCCGTACATAAACAATTGAAGTCGTACTTCTCCAAAACTGAGTAACATGTTCCCCCATTCTTTCATGGATTGTGTTCACAAGGAGCCTGAAGGGAGAGACAGTTTACCTCTCATTTCATTAAATGACGACAGTCTAAGTTTAACGCAGCTCAGAGCACTTTACTCCTCGCTGTTTTAGCCATTGTGCTTACAGCTCACCTTTGCAATCATCCAAATGATATGCTAAACACAGCAAAGTCAACACAAAGCATTTATCAACAGACACCAGTATACTCGAGCCGGGGCTTACCTCGGTTTCCTTATAACTTTACTATCCCCCTCCCTGGATGTAATGAAAGTCCACCGCAAGGTTAACCCCCCTTCCCCCAGCATTTCATTAGTTCTCCCTGACAATTCGCCGGTACTCATTTCTACTCCAGGGTGGAGAGAGACACACGGTGAGAGGGTTCGACTTGCGTTACTGTGGCAACGGGTTTTGACGTCATCATTACTAAAATTATTTTTTTAAGGCCTTATCTACAACATTGTTTCCTAGAAAATTACTCCTATAACGGAAAGTGTGATCTAAACTCGATGCTGGCAAGTTCTTTAAAGCAATTAAAAATAACCATTTCCATCCGATCAACAGTATTTGAGAGGAATAGTCTCGAGCTGCAAATTCATTTAAGTTGCCACAGAAGCAGAAAGCTAAAATACATTTTTTTCTAGAAAGTTAATTATATTAGAATAAGACAACAATGAAGAGTTAATATTTTAATAAGTTACTCCCACGTGTAAAGAAAATGACTTAGAAGCTCTAAACATGTAACTTTAAGCTGCAGCAGTTTAAATGTAAATTAGATTTCCACCCATGCCATTATAAAGCTTTTGGCAAAGCTAAATCATTTTCTGAATTACGAACTTCTAAAAGCAATAATACTAGGATCTAAGTCAGATAAAATTCTATTTTATTTTTGTAGATCTAAAGACACGAACGAGGGGTTTTCATTCTACTCAAAGTTTCTGTCTCAGCTCAGAGATAAAGAGAAAATTAATCGAAAAAAAATTGATTAAACCTTTTTCTCATCTTTTAAATTATTTCTGAAACCTGCGTTATCAACACTTCGATATGTACAGATTATTTTAATTTTTTGATTGATTTACCTAATAAAGAAACCCGGAAACTCTTGTTAACTTCGTGGTTACTGTTTCTATGTGAGTTCACACCTGTTGTTTTTCAAATTTCCCAAAAACCCGGTCAATATACAAATAACTCAATAAATTACCTGATGCGATGGTTTAAGTTATATTGACCAAGACATTCCTTTGGCCATAAACTTTACCAATGAAATGTAAAAATAATATTAAATAGAACAAAATAAATAGAGAAAAATGTGAAATTCGGACTTCATCATCTTACCGCTAAGCTGTAATGATGATAATCCTCGTTTTTCTCGAACAAGGCTGAGGAGTTGAATTTGCTGTTGTCTAAAAGATGACAGTCAAATTTTCCACTTTCTTCTGCACCATGTTTGAAATTGAGTGATCGACAGCGAGGAATTTTAGAACAAATTTCGATACAATCTTGCTCATTATTAACTGCGCGAGTTTCAAATGGTCTCGAGTCGAGCTTGTGATGCGGAAAGGGAAACAAATTGGAAAAGAAAATAACTCCATCAGACACTTTGATGGAACCTTGAAGTCTTTTCGAAGAATCAGCTGTTGCAAGTATCAAAACTGACCATAATAGGACCAAAAGAAAATCTTGATGCAACTTTGAGACCATTACAATTATTAGCAAGAAATTAATTTTTTGCATGTGATGAACTTGAAAGCGAAGAAGTGATGATAAGCTGGGTTTATAGTTGTTGTCACCAAATTTTCAGAAAAAGAACAGTAAAAATGCAAAGCTGGTAGTAACATAAAGTTTATACAGATCCTAGGGTTAAAAGCTTCAAGAGTGTCTAGGGGAAATCCTTACTTTCGGTTTACAAGAGGCTATGGTAATTTCATTAAAACAGCCACCTAAAATTATAAAGGGAGGAAGTTTCTAAAGAGACTGACGTGCTGTGTCGGTGGTGGAGTATAACAAGGTAATTTTGGTTTTATCAACAGAGTTGATAACGTAAATTGGCCACCGTAAAGAGTTTAAAAGCTGAAGTTTCAAGCGTTAGCCCTTCGTCAGATTAAAATTTGAATTTACCTCAGCGAATGTACACCACAAGGACATCTGCGACACCAACTTTTTCTAAAGCAAAAGACAACAGTAGAAAAAATAAATAGGCACTACACAGTTATACATGTGGAAGGGTATTTGAATATGAAACTAAACTTCTAGGCTTCAAAAAAAATTTAATATAATGTTCAAGGTATTCTTGGATCGTATGAGCTTTGCTTCTTTGCGCTCTGTGATTCGTTCAGAAAACTCTTGTCATCCCCGTAGCCAATCAGATGCGAAGTTTAAATCAACAACAACCTGGTCACTTGCGTCAATTTTCCCACCCTTATTACTTTGAGTTCTCATTGGCTCCTTGTGCATTTACCTAAGTTCTGATTGGCTATTGTGGTCCATTTCGTTACGGTGCCACTTTACTCACTTTCCCACTCGATTTTCTTACCCTGAACATTCCAGTTGGTTTTGGTTTGAAGTCTGCTGTATATGAAAGATGTAATCGGGAGGCTTTCTTCGTAAGGGCAGTGGTGCTGGGTTATAGAAAGCCATCCGTAGTCTCCACCACAATGGGAGTAGGGCCCGCTGATATGAAATCTTCGTCCCGATGCCCCAGCAATAGAGAAGTACTGAGGCAGATTGCTTTTCAAGTCAGTCCATGGTGAAGAAATGACTCGATCTTTGGTAAACCAGTTTTCGTTGTTGCTGTTTGAGGCGTCAAACATAATTGATAACAGTTCCCTCCCATCTTTGTAAAGAGCAACGCGAGCCTAGGGAAAATGAATGATGAAACGTATGCAAAGATTGGATATCTAATCGATCGATCGAATATCTGGTCAACCGGCTGACTGTAATTGACAGATTAACTTGCTGAATGCATGACTGCCCCATCATGCTTGGTGGCCACGTCTGTTTGTGCTTCATCCTCTTCATCCTATTCTGAACTCTTGTTTTCTCTGGGAGTACAACAACTCAGTTTTTTTAGCAGCACTAGGGTGCTTTTACATCTTTTACATCTACATCCAAAATGAGGCACGCTGAAGGTCTCTCGGCAGCGAAATTTCTCGAAATGATTATTTCAAAAATTGCCTGAGTAACTAAACGACCGACGAGCGACGAACGGACAAGCTTACTGGCTGACTATG